GACGCAGACTGTCCGGCAAACTGTTCCAAACTGTCGGAACTGCGAACTTCAATCCTCTAGAAATGATTTTTGTCGCTCGATTCTGAATTGACTGCAGATGATCAATTTATCTATTGGACACTCAATAAAAAAACACTGTTGCATTAATCCAGTTTTAATTGGACGAATAAGTGAACCAAGCATTTCAGTGTTTCCTTGTCGAGAGATTTTTTTATTTGTCAAAGTTTTCTAAGCTAAAAGCAACATTCTTTCGTAAGTGCCCCGATATGCTGGTCCATTGCCATAGTTTCATCAAATGTGATACCCAAATTTTTAACATAATTTTTACACAAAATTTTACATAAATTGACAACAGCACCAAAAATATTGTTTGAATTAATGTGAATTTTTTTAACCACTGCCACGTGTCGACAAGCAAAAGCTGTGTTTTGCTTCCATTCTGCTTTAATTCATTATCGACCATCCAACTATGGAGTTCATTGAAAGAAGAAACAGATGTATCAACTAACTCCTCGAAAGTGAGAACCGAAGTAGGTACTTGAAATCTGCAAATCATCAGCAAACGCATATCTGAAGTTATACAGCAAAAACAGAAGTGGTTCGAGAACCGACCCCATGAGGAACTCTTGACATGACAACTTCGACATCTGACAAAACATTGTTGAAAAACACTCGCTGCGTCTTACCAATCATGTGAAATTCGAACCAAGATGCTACCGTACCAGAAACACCAAAGCGATATTTGAGCATATGAATTAATTATTAAGGACTGATCAGCGCAGTCGAAGGTGTGACTCATTTTTAATTGTTTCAACTTATCGTGACTAATGTTTAATTGTTTAATCTTGTGAGATGCTTTGAGTGGCGATAACTTCGATGCAGCGGTACTGAATTTAATGATATAACACATGGTCTGGTGTTGCATGTGTTGCATGCCTCATATGGCATTGTATTTATGTATGTTTTCAGACATTCGTGAACGCAAGCAAATAAATAAAACTGGCAATCGAGCATTGCGATAGATACGTTCGAACATATAAAAAATCGATACACTCCTACATACATACATACGTACATACATACATACATACATACATACATACATACATACATACATACATACATGCATACATACATACATACTTACATACATACATACATACATACATAGATAATATAAAAATATAAACATGTGTATATAGATATCACTTTTTAATATAAACATATGTACATTGTTGCATAAAATTTTATTATTACAAACACATGTGTAACATGTATACTAACGTGTAAACATGTGTTTCAATATTATACAAAATTAATACATTTACCGATAATACTATTTGTAAAAACAGATCCGGCATATATCGGCAAATAAACTAAACAATAATTAATAACATACATCCTGAGAAACAAAGAAATAATATAATAAATATATGTATATATGTATATATTTATTATTTATATATTCATATATTTGTATGTATGCATACAAAATGTAAGAACCTCATATCTACACATACAAAACAAACAACAAGCGTACAATGCATACATACAAATCACGCTTTACATCAATCAGTTGGTATTGTATACATACAAAGCACGCACATACACTCACACACGTGCATACATACATACAGGCATACATACATACATACATACATACATACATACATACATACATACATACATACATACATACATACATATAAACGGCAGGAGCATATGTATTATGCTACCATAACTTTATCTTTCATCTGAACTTCATTAACGGAATGCGTTCATCATATTCCTCCCCATCTTTCTCCATCTCCTCTTCCTCTTCCTCATCATCATCTTCATCAACTTTTTTTTTCTTCCACCTCATATTTTTCCTTTCTTCTTTCTCATCATCATCAACATCATCAACAACAACAACCACAACAACCACAACAACTTCCTTCTTTATATACACAATCCTTCTCGTCATCATCATCCTTATCATTCAAAAGGCTATTTTTTCATCATTCTCACCATCGTCATTGTCATCTTTGTCGTCACAACCAGTATCATCATCAGTGAAAGTGGCCCAATATATATATACATATTGGATTAAGACTGTCAGAAATGCAATTATTGATGAAAATTACAGCATGTTCGGCGTTAGTTAACTTCTAATTTAACTTTTCGATTTTTCTAACTGTTGATCGTTAATCATTTTCAAGTTTATCAAAATCAAAAGTTCTCGTTAAATTTTTACATGATATAACAGAAAAGCTTTTTTCGGTATTCCTATACCGTCTTCGATGTTTAAATGTTTGATACGTTGTGGTGG